TCCGAACTGCATTCCAACGTCCTGAGTGACTGGCTTCTCGACCTTCATGGCCATGGATAGTGTTGACTCGACGTAGGGTGCCGGTGTCACATGTGTCACTACTTCACTGGTTGTCTGACAGAGACTTGAGAACTTACTGGTCTGCATAGCGACATTCGACGTCTTCACAGTCACAGGAACCGGTTCGATCTTAGGCTGAACGGTCTGACAAGCCATCTCTTCGGTATTCACGTACCGATGCCCACAGCTGGTACACAGACTCCTCTCGACCATTTTCGGTTCTAACTTGTGTGTGGTCAGACTGACGACCGGTGTGCTCACCCTATCCACTTGCACTTCAGCATTCACACTCGGTCTCTTCACGAAAGCTGCAGCCGAATCAAGCACACTTTCCGGCGACTTCATTAACACACTGGTCGCACTATCCACAACACACACACTTTCCTTCACCGTCTGCACACAGGCTTCCAATGTTTGGATGCGTTTCGGTGGTTCGTGGACCGGAACAACTGGTGTCTCTGGTTTCACTGGTGCATGCATCTCACTCCAAGAATCCACCATGCACAATTGCATAGGTTTGGCTTGTGACGTCGCATCGGTGCGTTTCAACGACAAATGGGCAGCACCGTCGAGTAGAGATTTGTGTGGCTCAGTCTGTGCACCCACGTCGGACGAGGAGACTGGTACTGTGTCGATTTGTTGGTCGACTGTGGAACGTTTCACGAACTGTGTGGCTTCCACTAGTGATGTTTTGCGAACAGGTTCAGGTGTGGGTAACTCCAATGAGGCGGTCTCGGTGATGAGAGGTGCTTGGACTTGAACGGTGGGTTTAGAGACAATCACATGCTCACTGGATTCCGTGACGTGTGTGGTAACTGAGGTCGCCTGTGTGGCAGTGTCAGTCAGTTGGCGTGGTGGTGGCTGTTTGACAGGCGGTTCTGCGTAGGAGGTACTCACTGACATCATATGATCAGGTTTCACTGTCTTCATTTCTCTGTGATCCACACTGGTCACAACTGGTCGTTCGGTTTGAGTCACCTGTACTTCTCGTTCTGCTACTCCCACTGCTTCCGTCAGTGTGTCGCTGCTGGTCTGTTGCACCTGGTAGCCAGAGCTCATGACACGCGTGGCCACACGCATTCCGAACTGCATTCCAACGTCCTGAGTGACTGGCTTCTCGACCTTCATGGCCATGGATAGTGTTGACTCGACGTAGGGTGCCGGTGTCACATGTGTCACTACTTCACTGGTTGTCTGACAGAGACTTGAGAACTTACTGGTCTGCATAGCGACATTCGACGTCTTCACAGTCACAGGAACCGGTTCGATCTTAGGCTGAACGGTCTGACAAGCCATCTCTTCGGTATTCACGTACCGATGCCCACAGCTGGTACACAGACTCCTCTCGACCATTTTCGGTTCTAACTTGTGTGTGGTCAGACTGACGACCGGTGTGCTCACCCTATCCACTTGCACTTCAGCATTCACACTCGGTCTCTTCACGAAAGCTGCAGCCGAATCAAGCACACTTTCCGGCGACTTCATTAACACACTGGTCGCACTATCCACAACACACACACTTTCCTTCACCGTCTGCACACAGGCTTCCAATGTTTGGATGCGTTTCGGTGGTTCGTGGACCGGAACAACTGGTGTCTCTGGTTTCACTGGTGCATGCATCTCACTCCAAGAATCCACCATGCACAATTGCATAGGTTTGGCTTGTGACGTCGCATCGGTGCGTTTCAACGACAAATGGGCAGCACCGTCGAGTAGAGATTTGTGTGGCTCAGTCTGTGCACCCACGTCGGACGAGGAGACTGGTACTGTGTCGATTTGTTGGTCGACTGTGGAACGTTTCACGAACTGTGTGGCTTCCACTAGTGATGTTTTGCGAACAGGTTCAGGTGTGGGTAACTCCAATGAGGCGGTCTCGGTGATGAGAGGTGCTTGGACTTGAACGGTGGGTTTAGAGACAATCACATGCTCACTGGATTCCGTGACGTGTGTGGTAACTGAGGTCGCCTGTGTGGCAGTGTCAGTCAGTTGGCGTGGTGGTGGCTGTTTGACAGGCGGTTCTGCGTAGGAGGTACTCACTGACATCATATGATCAGGTTTCACTGTCTTCATTTCTCTGTGATCCACACTGGTCACAACTGGTCGTTCGGTTTGAGTCACCTGTACTTCTCGTTCTGCTACTCCCACTGCTTCCGTCAGTGTGTCGCTGCTGGTCTGTTGCACCTGGTAGCCAGAGCTCATGACACGCGTGGCCACACGCATTCCGAACTGCATTCCAACGTCCTGAGTGACTGGCTTCTCGACCTTCATGGCCATGGATAGTGTTGACTCGACGTAGGGTGCCGGTGTCACATGTGTCACTACTTCACTGGTTGTCTGACAGAGACTTGAGAACTTACTGGTCTGCATAGCGACATTCGACGTCTTCACAGTCACAGGAACCGGTTCGATCTTAGGCTGAACGGTCTGACAAGCCATCTCTTCGGTATTCACGTACCGATGTCCACAGCTGGTACACAGACTCCTCTCGACCATTTTCGGTTCTAACTTGTGTGTGGTCAGACTGACGACCGGTGTGCTCACCCTATCCACTTGCACTTCAGCATTCACACTCGGTCTCTTCACGAAAGCTGCAGCCGAATCAAGCACACTTTCCGGCGACTTCATTAACACACTGGTCGCACTATCCACAACACACACACTTTCCTTCACCGTCTGCACACAGGCTTCCAATGTTTGGATGCGTTTCGGTGGTTCGTGGACCGGAACAACTGGTGTCTCTGGTTTCACTGGTGCATGCATCTCACTCCAAGAATCCACCATGCACAATTGCATAGGTTTGGCTTGTGACGTCGCATCGGTGCGTTTCAACGACAAATGGGCAGCACCGTCGAGTAGAGATTTGTGTGGCTCAGTCTGTGCACCCACGTCGGACGAGGAGACTGGTACTGTGTCGATTTGTTGGTCGACTGTGGAACGTTTCACGAACTGTGTGGCTTCCACTAGTGATGTTTTGCGAACAGGTTCAGGTGTGGGTAACTCCAATGAGGCGGTCTCGGTGATGAGAGGTGCTTGGACTTGAACGGTGGGTTTAGAGACAATCACATGCTCACTGGATTCCGTGACGTGTGTGGTAACTGAGGTCGCCTGTGTGGCAGTGTCAGTCAGTTGGCGTGGTGGTGGCTGTTTGACAGGCGGTTCTGCGTAGGAGGTACTCACTGACATCATATGATCAGGTTTCACTGTCTTCATTTCTCTGTGATCCACACTGGTCACAACTGGTCGTTCGGTTTGAGTCACCTGTACTTCTCGTTCTGCTACTCCCACTGCTTCCGTCAGTGTGTCGCTGCTGGTCTGTTGCACCTGGTAGCCAGAGCTCATGACACGCGTGGCCACACGCATTCCGAACTGCATTCCAACGTCCTGAGTGACTGGCTTCTCGACCTTCATGGCCATGGATAGTGTTGACTCGACGTAGGGTGCCGGTGTCACATGTGTCACTACTTCACTGGTTGTCTGACAGAGACTTGAGAACTTACTGGTCTGCATAGCGACATTCGACGTCTTCACAGTCACAGGAACCGGTTCGATCTTAGGCTGAACGGTCTGACAAGCCATCTCTTCGGTATTCACGTACCGATGTCCACAGCTGGTACACAGACTCCTCTCGACCATTTTCGGTTCTAACTTGTGTGTGGTCAGACTGACGACCGGTGTGCTCACCCTATCCACTTGCACTTCAGCATTCACACTCGGTCTCTTCACGAAAGCTGCAGCCGAATCAAGCACACTTTCCGGCGACTTCATTAACACACTGGTCGCACTATCCACAACACACACACTTTCCTTCACCGTCTGCACACAGGCTTCCAATGTTTGGATGCGTTTCGGTGGTTCGTGGACCGGAACAACTGGTGTCTCTGGTTTCACTGGTGCATGCATCTCACTCCAAGAATCCACCATGCACAATTGCATAGGTTTGGCTTGTGACGTCGCATCGGTGCGTTTCAACGACAAATGGGCAGCACCGTCGAGTAGAGATTTGTGTGGCTCAGTCTGTGCACCCACGTCGGACGAGGAGACTGGTACTGTGTCGATTTGTTGGTCGACTGTGGAACGTTTCACGAACTGTGTGGCTTCCACTAGTGATGTTTTGCGAACAGGTTCAGGTGTGGGTAACTCCAATGAGGCGGTCTCGGTGATGAGAGGTGCTTGGACTTGAACGGTGGGTTTAGAGACAATCACATGCTCACTGGATTCCGTGACGTGTGTGGTAACTGAGGTCGCCTGTGTGGCAGTGTCAGTCAGTTGGCGTGGTGGTGGCTGTTTGACAGGCGGTTCTGCGTAGGAGGTACTCACTGACATCATATGATCAGGTTTCACTGTCTTCATTTCTCTGTGATCCACACTGGTCACAACTGGTCGTTCGGTTTGAGTCACCTGTACTTCTCGTTCTGCTACTCCCACTGCTTCCGTCAGTGTGTCGCTGCTGGTCTGTTGCACCTGGTAGCCAGAGCTCATGACACGCGTGGCCACACGCATTCCGAACTGCATTCCAACGTCCTGAGTGACTGGCTTCTCGACCTTCATGGCCATGGATAGTGTTGACTCGACGTAGGGTGCCGGTGTCACATGTGTCACTACTTCACTGGTTGTCTGACAGAGACTTGAGAACTTACTGGTCTGCATAGCGACATTCGACGTCTTCACAGTCACAGGAACCGGTTCGATCTTAGGCTGAACGGTCTGACAAGCCATCTCTTCGGTATTCACGTACCGATGTCCACAGCTGGTACACAGACTCCTCTCGACCATTTTCGGTTCTAACTTGTGTGTGGTCAGACTGACGACCGGTGTGCTCACCCTATCCACTTGCACTTCAGCATTCACACTCGGTCTCTTCACGAAAGCTGCAGCCGAATCAAGCACACTTTCCGGCGACTTCATTAACACACTGGTCGCACTATCCACAACACACACACTTTCCTTCACCGTCTGCACACAGGCTTCCAATGTTTGGATGCGTTTCGGTGGTTCGTGGACCGGAACAACTGGTGTCTCTGGTTTCACTGGTGCATGCATCTCACTCCAAGAATCCACCATGCACAATTGCATAGGTTTGGCTTGTGACGTCGCATCGGTGCGTTTCAACGACAAATGGGCAGCACCGTCGAGTAGAGATTTGTGTGGCTCAGTCTGTGCACCCACGTCGGACGAGGAGACTGGTACTGTGTCGATTTGTTGGTCGACTGTGGAACGTTTCACGAACTGTGTGGCTTCCACTAGTGATGTTTTGCGAACAGGTTCAGGTGTGGGTAACTCCAATGAGGCGGTCTCGGTGATGAGAGGTGCTTGGACTTGAACGGTGGGTTTAGAGACAATCACATGCTCACTGGATTCCGTGACGTGTGTGGTAACTGAGGTCGCCTGTGTGGCAGTGTCAGTCAGTTGGCGTGGTGGTGGCTGTTTGACAGGCGGTTCTGCGTAGGAGGTACTCACTGACACCATATGATCAGGTTTCACTGTCTTCATTTCTCTGTGTTCCTCTCTCCTCCTTTCTTGTTTTTGTTCTTGCACTTGTGTATCTCTCTCGCTCGTCGAATCCACGATACACACTTTGACTTGTTTTTCTCTGGATTTGTCTTCAGTTCTGGTTTCGTATTTTTGTTCTATTTTGCTGTCTTGTGTTGTGATACTTTGTTTTTCCTCTCTCTTTTCTGTGTTTTCTATTTTGTCCATTTTCGTTTGTGTCCAGGTGTCATATTGGAATTTTGTTGTTTGTATGCTGGCTTCTATTTTCATTTTGTATTTTTTGTCTTTTAGGCTTGATATTGCCTTCTTCTCTTCGTCGGTTTGTTCGTATTTTTGGAAATTTTCAACATATATTCCTATTGTTTCCGAAGAACGTTCCTCTGATTTAACTCTACTATGTATTTGTCTTTGATCTACAAATGCGATACTTTGTGTTACTAATTTTGATTCGGTTATCTGTCCAAACATTGCCTTATTTTCTTCATTGCTTGTCTCGATGTCGTACATTTCTGACATGGTTGTTTTAGGTGTACTTTCTATAAGGTAGTGCTCCTGTTTGTCAAGAAGTCTTATTTGTTGCTGATACTGACAACCAAATTCACCTCTCAATCGTGGACTTTCTGGAACTTTTTCATGTGCTTTGTGATCATCAGATGTAATTTTATATATTCCCACAGGGCTTTTCATTATTTCATAAGTTTGACAAGCTCTGTCGCCTCTGCCTTTAGATTTCAACTTTTCTACTTCTTGTTGAATGAGCTGATTGAATTGAGCTTCTGTTATCTCTTTTACATGTGCGTACTGCCTAACTGCGTAGATGAAATCTTCAGAGTGCTTTTCTGTTTGTGTTTGAACATTCTCTCTTTGTTTGGTAATTTGACGTGGCTGTTTTCGTAATTCTGTTATTGATTGTGAAGTTGTGGTTATAAGATCTCTAGTACAGCATTCAATGCTTCTGAAGGTTGGACGTGCTTCTATACCTATATCTGTGATTTGAACTTTGCTAGGCCTTGTATGAATTATTCTAGCTGACTCTTCAATTTTAGTCAAACTCTTTGCTTCTTCAACATGCTGCTTTTCTATCCATGTTCTCCGTGTAACTTTTGTTTTTTTCAAAGGATCTTCTGATTGCGTAGATTTTGAAATTGTTGACGGTTTCAAATTTTCTTGATCAGTGGAATCAAGTATATTAGTTTCTTCAGTTGGCGCTACTTCAATATAGACAACTGAATAGCGCCCACCGTCTTTTGTATCGATATATTTTCTACTCTTGTATGTTATTGGTTTATCTTTTGTATCCATTGGCCGTTCAAGTGTTAACAACATTTGTTTGTCAAGTGTAGTTACGAAATTTCTATTTTCTTTCAAGAAATCGTCCTCCGATCTTGTAAGAAAATCTTGTTTTAAATGGTATTTTTGATAATCCTCAATTTCATCGTCAGTTGTACAAGAACTACCAGTACCAATACTTTGAATTTCTTCACTCGTAGTACAACTACACACCATTTCTTCATCATATGTGAATATAGCTGGCAGTATAAACGTTTTATGTGGAAATTTTAAACTACTTGTAAAATGTGGTTGTTTAATTTGTTTCGAATGAACGATATATGATGTTTCTGTTTCATCAATCGATTCATAAGTACTCTCTGAATTTATATACTCCGAACCTGAACTTGACAACCATTCATCATCAGAACTTGATGATAATGAATAAATATTAAATTGATTTTTGTCTTTTGTTTGTTTATTCCATATTCTTAATTGATTTAGTAAACTATCTAATTTTTTCTTATCCTTTTGAGCTAAATCACTGACAAAATAAGAAAAAAGAAAACAGGATAATAAGAAAATAAAACAATTAACCATATTTTCACAGATCGAAATCATGAGTCAGTTGAAGCTAGACCGCCATTGAAAACCTGGAAGCACTGGACGGCCGTTTCGTCCTAGTATGGAACTCCTCAGCAGTGCGCATCCACTTACTGGCTTCGCGCGCGAGCACTTAACCATTAGACCACTGAGCCGGCATCCAACGGTGTTAATGTCTAACTTCAACCAATCCACGAAGTTGCGCCACCATATACCATTGTCTTCAGTGAGCTGATATCTCACAACAGACCTGGTTGAACTCCACTGGTAACGGCTTCCCACTAGAACTCCAGGAGCATCTCTTGAAGTCAGTCACTAGTGAGCAGATGATTATTATCAGAAGGGGTTTGTGGAGATTCAATCTGTGAAAATTTCTAAAATCTCCACAAACCCCTTCTGATAATTAACCATATTGTTAAATAACCTGATATATGCCAATTATTCTCAAATCAAATTATTGTGATCTAATTGATTATTGAATAAAGGTCATTTGTTTGTTTTATGAATGTTATTTTACTGTGATTTAACAACTTAAAAATCAAAATGAATTTCATTTCAGTAATGAATAAGTAGAAAATATTGAAGTCAAATGATGTTGCTTACTTGACAAGTGTCACAGTTTCCATCATATGAAAACTTTGCTCTTGAAGATCATTGAGTTTTTGTGATAAATCAAGTGGTATAATGTTTTCTTGTTCATATTGTTTTATAGTTCTCATATGAGCCTTTTAAATAAATAAAAAATTATGCCAAAAATATGAATTACAATATGAAGTACTATTCATGATTATGTACAAAACATACTTTGAATAATTTTCAATACTAAACATATTTGAGTAGGCTAAACATGAAATAATATACCAATAAGATCACTGAATCCTATTAATAATGTTTGAACAACGGTTAGTAGGTTTAGTAAATTAAGATTTCGGAGTGTTGTAATTGTCATTTAGTTTTTCGGCAGTTAACTCATGATCTGGGGTGTAAGAACGAATATTTTTATTGTTGCTTATCTAGGAAAACCATCTACTGTCATATGGCTCCATAGTAGAAAAGAAATGTAATTATGTATGTGCCTAATATAACTAAATTAATTGTCCATCCGGATATAGTTATTGAATCTATACTCCTGTTTGGTTTAGTAAAGACATATATATACTAGAGGGTTATGTAAGTTTATTTGTTTCTTCTTTTTAGATTAAGAAACCAATGGCAGTAATTGAATGTAACTAATAGAACATAAAATTTGCCGGGCGTTTGGCAGGATTATATGAAACTAAAGGTCTTGGTGATAATTAAACGTTAAAAGTAAGCTATGTAAATGATCATAGTTCTTTTAATCTTTAACTAGCATGTAAAGCAACGGGTCGAACAACGGTAATTTAAGTTGGGTAAATAACTTCACTTTACAATCAGTTTCTCACTACAGGCTACATAAAATCATTATCAACTAGATGGTTGTAATTCAATTATCGAGCTTTCTAGCTCCTGATCAGCCAATTAAACCAAACTTATACTTTGTCAAGTTCATCATCTTGTTTCTAAATATAATCTTTCATGGTGAAGGTCATAGGAAGACTATATAAAATCTATATCTTTATAGACCTATTCGACACTGATTATTAAATTGATTAATAAATAACTTTTAATGTTATCTATCGATTCTTTTTCAATGTGATCTTTGTTGTAAGATTTCACCTTTTATATATAGTGAAAATCACAACAATACACATAAATAAACTGAACTACATATAAGAAATTTATGAGATCTATTACCTCACTTTATAACTACATTTATCGAATTCAGATATTTGCTCACACCTTTCTTTTTATAATTAATTATACCTTATATAACCAATATTAGTAATGAAACCAATCAATTAATTTCGATGGTTGAGATCATGAGTCAATTGAAGCTAGACCAACATTGAAAACCTGGAAGCACTGGACGGCCGTTTCGTCCTATAAGCGCTCGCGCTTGAGACCGATAGGACTTACGCGCCTCCTGGATTCCACTGCTAGCCACTATCCATCTTTGCTTAACATAGATTTTCATTTGTAGATCAGATGGATTAGGTTAATATTTCATATTACAAGTATAAGAACTCAGTGGTTATTGATCATTATGAAATAACTGGTATTATAAATATATGTATGTATATATAATATACGATTAAATTTACTTTGGGTAAAATCTAACAACTCACTTTATTCCAATCAAGCAGACTTTGAAATATTGCAATTTCTGTTCGACGCAGATGAATGCTATCTGACGTACGCGTTCCAACTGCAAATAAATTTATAAAGAATAAAATAAATGGAATGATCATACTTTTTTTTCGTATACTACTTTTTATCTATTGAGAAGAGTAGTAGTATTCATAACAGAAACGTCACTTTGACACTTAAGATTCAAAGTCATTATTGAGAAAAAACTTAATTTTTTGGGTGGTTTATGCCAAAGACTAAGATCGACTGAGGCATAATTGAAAATCAAAGAACACAGAGGCTTGATCACATACTAAAAACAGCTAATTTTCATTCCGTGACGGAAATTACCTAAAACGTTTTAAGTAGCGTTCCTGCGATTCTAGTATTCAGACATTAATAGTCGCTAAATGAAAATATTCAGTGAGAATAATCTGAAATTAATGTAAAAAAATAAATTATCTAACAGGCGTTAAAATTATAGTTAAAGAAGAGTTGGTAACTTGATTCCAATGTTTTCTATATTATGAATTTAGTTGATTCGATCATTTTGGTACAACACTACAAACGTATTCGAATGATGAACCCTTAATGGGATAATGTTTGTTTTGAAAATCACTGACAACCTTTATCTTTTATATTGAGCAAACATTGAGACTCAAGTGCATCAGAAACCAACCCATAAATATCAAATTTTTAACTACAGTCGCAAAAACCCAAGAACTAACAAAACTAACTAAGTACAAACATTACTAATGAAGGAAAAGAACACACTCCAGCACACTTACAGAGCGAAAAAAATAAATACTTCATTACTATATTTAAAAAGAATCGGCGATCCATGCAAATTCATCAAAAAATATCATTGTAAACCATCAGCAAAAACGAAGTCAAATACAGAAACCGATAAACGGATCAAACTTCCATATATAAAAGACATCAGAAATCGGAAAGACATTATTGAATCTGTTTAGAATAATTGTAGCACATAAACCGAAAAATCACTTCCCCCAGTCTTATACGAAGCGGGGGATGTGGTGATAAATGAAGTAAAGTAAAATATCGTCCATAAAATAAGGTGATCCAACTGTGCGAGGCACTAAATCGGACAAAGTGGACGTCCTGCTCGTTTTCACATGGACGAATAACAAGCAGCGGTCAAACGCCATGATATATCTTCGCCTATATCAATGCATGTAGACCCACATTCGGCAGAAAAAATGTTAAAAACTCGGATCAAAGAAACATTGAGGACACTAGAGAACGTTTAGAAGCTTGCGACTCAGGTCAATTAGGAATCGATCCGATTTATCAAGCAATCAAAAACTCATAAGCAAAGCTAGGACCAAGAGTCAGATCAATGACAGAGACAATCAAAATAAAGATGTAGACAATGACAGGTTAAACGACAACAATAACCAATCAAAATTGAGGTCGATAGAACAAGCTTTCAACCACATAGGGAGAAATTCAAATACTTCACTTTTACTTGAAGTTTGTGCTGATGATGTTGTTCAGAAGAACAACGAAGGCCCCACGATTAAACTATCCAGCTCAGCGAACGAAACTCTACTAAAATATACATCTATAAAAATGCAATCCACAAGTTTAAAGTCAATTTTATAGAATAAAAGTAACAATTATTAATAAATATATGATCTTTCAGAAGATAACATAATGTCATTTTATTTAATTGATCTTTCTCACTGTTTCCTTGTAGATACCATCAAATTATTTTAAAGAATTAAAACATACCGTTAGGAAAAACTTACATGTCTTTGTTTTATTCCAATGTTCACGTGTAGCATCAATAAGTCGTAAGAATTCCTTATTAAAATTTTCCGCCTCAGCTGTTGGTGGTTCAGTTAAAGAGAATACTAAGTTATTTAGAAATCGTTTAAATGCTTCATCATCATCTGTAGTTAAACCCTATTGATTAATCGAGATGGAATAAAATAACAATGTTGAAAAGGGTGAGAGTAATTTTAGTAACTTTTAATATTGAAAAGTTGAATAAAAGCCACAAAAAGAGGTAATCTCACTGCCCATTTATGATTCATTTGAACTTAGAGAGCCAAACACCATGATTCTATGGCACACCTAAAAATCACAGGTAGAATTTTCTCTCTACCGAGTTTTAGCACTGTTACGTCCTTGATCTATCTGCCCTTCCAATATGCAGAAGATAGTTTGTCACAATCCAGGTTAAGAACTTGACAAGATGGTTGACTAGTTTAACTTTGAGGCTAGTATGTGTGAGTTTGAAGTGAGACTACTGCTTTGGGTAGAGAGACGAAAAGTATTCTATCACCTGATTAGTTGACAAGCTTGCGAGAGAGAGAAAACGAGCCAACTGGAACACTACCCAATTTATTCCTGATTCCGATTCATACTCCATTTCGGTTCCAATTCAGATAAGTGCAAAAAGATACATAAATAAATAGGTAACCAACATGACCACAATGCACATACAATTAGGACGATACAATTATGTCTAAAACTGGGGATTAGGGTAGAAAATAGAGTACGAAAGATTACGTCTAAATGATAATTAGCTTTAGGACAGAAAAGGCTATGACAGTAAATCATAAATCAAACGAAAGCTTATGGTCTGTTAGAATAAAACTAGGGACACAAATAAATGTTACTGTTTTACAAGCTTTGAATTGAATGAAATAACGTCTCCTGAAAAATGGCTTCCGTAGTTTGTCATAGTTTCTTATTTCTCTATTCACATCAAGCATATTTAAAAGAATGGCAGATATGAATCTTGGAATTAATACAGAAATAGCTTAACTAGTAGGAATGGAAAAGATATATGAATATCATATAAAATGTGAAGGATGGGAGTGTGATTAGGAAACATTTAGTCTATTCATTGTTTACCAATGTATCAATAATCTAGGCAATCAAATTGTTGTATCAGGGAATAGTAAGTTAATATCATGATTAGAATTCTTAATTATTGTCTTAAATAATAGCTTATAAGATGTACAATGAACGTTTATTTTACCCCTAATAAAACATACTGCTAAAAGAAATCAATGAAACAGACATTGACTAATTCTATATCGGAAACTTCCTAATAGAAAAAATATAATTTATAAAATTGTTACTAAGAAGCTTGTTAAACATTGCAGTACCTATTATTGTCAATGAAAACATCACTGTAGAGGAATGGTTAAATAACTGAACAGTGTACACTTTGTGAATACCTTCATTTATGAAAAGTATATCATAAATGATGAGAATGCCAGTAGATCAGTAAAAATGTATACAGAAATAATTCATTCATTTATCAAAAAATATATTTTTATAACTTCGCATCCACGAGATATTACACTTTAAATCTCCTCTTAGATGACGTCATATAAACGGGTTAAAGTTCATACGCAATGTGGGTAGTTTTGCAATATTTATAATAAAGTATATGTAGGCAAGTAATAAGACATTAACGATATTAAGTGTTTTTAAGAATCTTCTTATCATAAAATTCGTACTGAACATAAATATACCTAGTCACATCTTATAGTACAGATAATTTAGGTTTGTAAACGGAACGTTACTTACGATCAATGTTCATTTATCATTTTCTAGTCGATCAAATAGAGGCTGTTCAATTAAAAGACAATCTAATAGTTGGATTCATGAGTTAATTGAAGCTAGACCACTAAGAAAAACCTGGAAGCACTGAACAGCCGTTTCGTCTTCTTCGTTTCTTCTTCTTCTCCCACAATGCCGATTCGCTAGATTCAAACCCAGTGTCTCGCGAAGCAGGATCGTGGATGCGCAGTGCTGAGTCTCATACTAGAACTAAACGGCCGTCCAGTGCTTCAAGATATTCCATGATGGTCTAGTTTCAATTGACTGATGAATCCAACTATTAAATTACTAAAATCTCCACAATACCCTCTTCTCATAAATGACAATTTGTCAAGTTTTGTTATAACAAAGGTTAAAACAATCTTAGGTTAATAAATTTGATAATTAACAATTACCACCAGTTTTTAACCTGTTAATTGTTTTTTCTTATTCCAAATCATAGTATTTATATTCAAAAGAAGTTTATGATATTCTTATTCCTTTTATTGGTAAAGGAAAAAACAAACTCAATAAACTATCTTATCACCTTTTTATTCGCTTCAAAGTATTACGTTACTACTTGTATACTCTAATTTTGACTAATCACATATACTGATATTTATTATTGAGTAACATATGATGATCATTGTTCCAAATTTATAAGCTGTTTTAATCAATTACATTTTTAGTGGTGGTCTAGTGGTTAAGCGCTCGCGCGCAAGACTAATAAGTTCTGGGTTCGAATCTCGCAAGGCGGGGTCGTGGATACGCACTGCTGAAGAGCCCCTCAATGCGGCGAAGTGGCTGTCCAGTGCTCCCAGGTTTTTCATAGTGGTCTAGCTTCAATTGACTCATGAGTTTAACTATTGCAATTACATTTTAACAAATTTGAATGAAATTGTAGAATTTCATCTACTTAGTTACCTATTATTATTACCTTGTCACGTGTAATTAAGTCCTATTTTTTTTTAAATACAATGAACTTGATTTAAGTACTTAAGTAATGAAATTGATAATCTTTCACAACATAGTTTGTTTGCAACCTTTGTTATCCTATAAATTTGGGAATCAATTTAGTGGGTTTCACTATAAAGTTAATGCATTCAGTAGTATATTATACATATACTACCCGACTTTCACATACATACATATAAACTTACATACAAACAAATAAATGTGTGTAATTTTTTCTAAAACTTTAACAAGCTTACTTTTTGTGATGTTTTTGATCTACGTCGAATTTTAAAGTGTTCTCGGATTTCATCATGTTACTACTACCATCATATATGGAATATTTTTATATCTTAACAGGAGTATGTTTTAACTTACCCTATTTTTTGATTAAGTTACTAACTATCAGTCAATTATGATAAGTATTCGTTTTATATGGAGTAATTGACTACTATTATGAAAACAAGAAAGATCTTTGAGAAGATTTAAATGTACTAGCGGGAGAAAATCATAATAGGAAACAAGCGCTTTCTGATGATTATACAGTGTTATTCAACGCTTCAAAGTTGTATATATTCTTTTAATTTAGAAGTACTTTATTGAATATATCTTCAAAGGAAAGTGAGAGGAACTGATCAACTATCTGGTGTTAAAACTTGACAATTTTTAATTTCTATCAAGTTATTACATATTCCTGTTGAAAGTAATGACATTACATTTTGACTGAAAATGATTTAGGGAGAACGAATTTAATAATCCACTTAGTATTGTTTGGCTTGTATCTTCCCATTGAGGTTTAAGACTGAAATTGATCAGTCTGTTATTGGCATATGTGCATACTGTGCGTATGCTTCGATATTGCCTTTATTCACAAGGCTTTTGTAAGCAGTGGTGGACAGTGGCTAACAGTGGAATTCTGGACGCGCGTTTCGTCCTATTTGGGACTCATCAGTTGAGAGGCAGGTACATCCAGCCGACGATACTATAGTTTTAACAATTTACACGTTTATTTACCATAGTTAATCCCTTTAAAAGGAATGTTCCATGGGTTTTCGTTTTTGGATTGAAAATGCTTGTGAAGTAAGAGAATGTAACTAGCCATATGTAATATCAAAGAAATATATATATATACAAAATGTATTCAGAACTTACATCGCTTTCAATAAACCGTTGTAATAAGATTGTGAAAAATTGAAGACAAATTTTCAATTGTTCATCTATTATGTAATTCCAACTGTCCAATATAACTTTGTATAGTCTATGAAGGATGAAAATATCGACATGATATTGATTAAAATAAAACAATCAGATCTTAAGAAATTCACTAAAATGTTCCATAATTAATGAAAACATTTGTAAAAGTAATTAATAGTTTGTTTTATCCCTGACCTGATTAAGTTTATCTATGCAATTTTACCTTACAATATATTGGAATCATCTCTATGAAGTAATAGGAACTATTGAAAGTCATTTTAAGACTTTCTAGACAAATACTTACCAGATACTTCCTTAAATTTAATTAATAAATATTATGTCACATGATGATCATATAAACCTTCATTCAATAGGCCAAAAATCTGGTGATCAATCATTTTTGACTTATACACAATGTGTGTATTATTAAACATTGATAATGGTTCACTTGGTATTGTTTTGCTTAAATTTTCCCCATTGAGGTTTAACACTGTAATTGATCAATCTGTTATTGGTATATGTGCATAGTGTGCGTATTGCCTCGATGTTGCCTTAATTCACGAAGTTTATTAGCAAAGGTGCTGGGTTCGAGTCCCAGAGTGAACATGAACTCTGAGATGTAGGTACATCCAGTGGATGAGTCTCGAATAGGATGAAACGCACGTCCTGGATTCCACTGCTAACCACTATCCATCTTTACTTACAATAGTTATTTAATGTTTTATTACTTTTATAATAGTAATATTACTGTTTTATATGGAGATGTTTTTTTTGTTTTTTCAATCTGAATATATGTTATAGGGAGTTATATTGAAATCGATTGTTAACAAGGGAAATATTTCAGTACTAACTTTACGAAGAACCTTTTAACAGAATAAACTCAGTCTATTTGAAATATATGTGGTCAAATGGGTCAAATTAAATTAGTAATGTGATTTCTTCATGAAAATTTTTAACATACTATATACAAAGGGAATATTTTCGAATATGAGCGAACTACTGAGGTCAATCATTTTGTATCTGAATCAACAGAGATATATAAATCTTAAATGTTGAATACTATTTGTTAGTTATCACTATGGATTGACATCAGACAGAAAACTATTAAAAGGACGATAAACTATAAACAGTCATTTTTAAAACCACAAAACTAAACATTTACGGCATAAAATAGAATTGAATGTGGAAACTGATGGTCAAAATAGTACATGGTAGAACTAGGTCGCTTAGTTAGATTTAGATGGTTCACATTTTATAAGTTTATTCACTTTGCAATATTGTACAACCATCATTGGTTATATATAACTCGTAACCTAAAGAGCTTTTAACAGTTCAATTAGTTAAATCAGATGTACTTGTAAGTTAAGTAGAAATAAATGAGAAATAAATTACCACAATCATCTTCCATCAATAGTAATGTTATGATGGGATGAAAAGTCAAAGTTAAATTGATTTACTCATTATCAGTTTAGGGGTTGTGGAAATTGTGAAGTTTTTGATTGAGATCATGAACCGATTGATGTTAGACCACCATTGAAACCAGGAAGCTATTGTGGGACTCCTCAGCAGTGCTCATCTATGACCCCGCTCACGGGATTCGGACCCAGGGCCTTCCGTCTCGCGCGTGAACGCTTAGCCTACTTAACCACTGAGCCAGCATCCAATAGTGTTAATGTCTAACATCAACCGATGCACGAGGTTGCGCGACCATCTTCCATTGTACTGAGATAGACACCTGTTTCTACCCGACACGGATTAGCTCTACTGGTCATGGCATCTCACCAGAACTCCGAGAATTTTCTCACGAAGCTAGTCACTAGTGAGCACATGGTAACTATCAGTTTAAGGGTTGTGGAGACTGTTTAGTTTTTGATTGAGATCATAAACTCATTATGACTTTTATTCAACATTAATTCCGTTTAATTCCATTTGATGATTACTCAGTATAGTATGTGTTTCGTTTTCCCCTATGACATTTTATTTTATATAACAAACGAGATTCTTGTAAGAAGTATTTTTCATGTATGTGATTTTTTCTGATTATTAAACAAAAATGGGTGTACAAATCAATATATAAATGAGTGTATTTCCAACTAGACTTGTCATGATTGCTCTTGCTTCTGGCTGCTTCTAGAATATATTTCACCGTTTCGAATTTGGACTTCGTTCTTTAGTTAGCGAGGCTGGGATGCATCAGAATAGTTAGCTTATTGGTCTTTGGTCACAGAGTTTCTGTTCCGTTCGCAAACTCGGTGAACTCGTAATCGCTTCAAACATAATAAGTAAGTAGAAATTTTCTTGTCAACTACTTTGAAATACATCAACATATGACACTGAAAGATTTCAAAGTTTACATTCCAATTGTCTGAACACTTCTTATTACATAATTTAGATCATTTCTAATGAATGTTATTCTAATGTCCATTTTTCCAAGTCGTTTTACTATATCCTATTATGAAATATTGTTTCAAGCCTTCATTATTCTTATCACAACTAGTATACCTGTCATCACACTTTCAATTTGTACTTTTTACTTATTATTTATTTATGCAATCCTTTTTACTGTTATCACTGACTCCACAAACTGCCTTGATCACTTCAATAATTCCATATATGATATATAAATATTATTGTATATTAGAGTAAGATTGGTTCAGTGAAGAGTCCTCTTTTCGAAGGATTCATCTTCAAAGTTGTACAATCGCAAATATATATACTTATTTTTATAGCATGATAATGATAATAAACTTCTGTTAAAAATGGTAACAGTAAGGTACAAGAAACAAAGGTATTACAAAACTTTTTTTTAGTCAGGAGAACTAATAATTGTTTTACGGTTAAAGGCTTGAATATTGATTATATATATGAGATTGTACTATGAAATTCTGTATTTTATTGAAATACGTTTGGTTGTCGTCAATCGTGTTATCGTTCACTACAATACTAGTTAATTTATTGTAACATAAACATAAACCTTTACATGTTTTCAGTAGTATTTTAAAATTAAGTATAAAATGTTTGAAATATTTAGTGATATCTTGGCTAAAATATACTATGCGGGTAATTGTTTGGGAACAGTTATATGAAGCAATGAAAAAATACAGTTTAATAAATAAGCCAAGTAAATAATAACTTATAGTTGCTTACTTTATTGCCTTCTCTTGAGCTTCCATATCGGGTGACGGAATCCACACACATACAGATGGTACTAATGCTTCGACTTTACCATCAATACTTCTAATATGCCAATGAAGCTTTGACGATGATTGTCCCAACGGACTGACATTTTCTGTAAAAGTACTACTCGTTTGATCACTACTTGTGATTTCAGAACCACTGGTTTGACCACGACCGAAATTCCAATAAGGCATTGTTGTAATTCTAGGTTTTGGATATCGTAAATAAGAGTTACTGTCAGTTGAACGATCGTCTATTTCTTCAGTTCTTGAATGACTGTCACTGTCTGTTTCACAAATATCCAATGTATCAGATGTCATATTGTGTGATGCTTCAGATGTTATATCTTCCTCTTGATTAGTACCTGTTCTTAGTAGGAATTTCTGTTTATTTTCTACACCACCAGCCATATTGTCAATTATAACAATTCGTTCACCAGCGGTTAGTTTAAATTTAGGTGTTTCATAATCGCATAACATTACACCATTTACAGGGGATTTAATACGATTAGTTCGTAGATAAATAGGCACAAGTGATTTAGATTGTTCAATTAATTGTTTTGAACGATTGACCACATAGTTTAAATGATCAAACTGGCTCTGAAAACATAATATTTTCCAATAAATAATGAATTAAATTTGAGTTATTGAACTAAAGACAATTTTCATAACAATAATTAATTTCCTAGAGTACTCTTACCACGATTTTTTCTCTTAATAACGAATTATCAAGTATTTTCACAAAGATTTCGATGATAAATACATTGGTTATTTAATCAGAACATTTATATATATATAAGCAAGTGGCCATCAGGACTCAGTAGCTAAGTGAATAACGTGATGGAGTTTGAAGCTAATGATACTTGGCTTGAGTCCTGAAGTGAACGTCGATTCTAGGTTGCAGGTACATCTAGTTGACGAGTCCCAAATGGGATGAACGTGCACACTAGATTCCACTGCTAGCCACTATCCCTCATTGTTTATAATGCTTGTGAATTAAGATGATATACACAATATGCGCATATGCCAACAAGAGACTGATCAATTGCAGTCATACACAACAATGGGAAGATACAAGTAAGCAACATCAAGTGAATTTAACCCAAATAAAATATTTAAAAATCAAAAAATATATAACAGCCTAGTTAAAATCCTCGCAAAATTATATTAACATATTTAACTCATTTGTATGTCTAATGTAAAAATATTTCAAAAAGAAGAGAAAATAAATTGAAAGTACACTGATTCCTTCTGAACTTCAAACAATTACTGAACACTATAATTTAATTAAAACAAAATTAAACTAGTGATAACCAAGTGCTTATAATACAATAGATACTCTAATATATATATCAGGTGATATCAGACAATACAACATTCTATTTGCTTTATGATATGCATATCAAGCAAATGAATAAATTAAAAATTGACAAAGAAATGAGGTCAAATAAATCCATCTCTACTTTTTCTTTTCTTTCATCTTTTGATTTTAGTCTCCACCGAAACATTTATCAAATACTCAAATCTCTTTATATATTCATCATATTTAATTATTGTTATCAGTGTTTATACAGTAATGTCGAACTGTAAACGTTGATGTATCATTTTGTCAACAAACATTTTTGAATATATATACATATTACATTAAATATTAGTTATTTAAATTGATGTAATATCATGTGCCTACTGAAAACATATTTGAGTAGTATGTTATTTAAAGCATAAAAATATTGCAAATCTTATTGTTATATTAAAGGTTGATTACACTATTTGATACCAGTTCAGATAATTGTAATCAAACTTGCAATTCTGTAAAAATTAAATAACATATACAAAATTACACAAATTCAGAAATCATTTACACTTACTCTTAACCAATCTCTTAGTTCTTTTGATGAATTTGTATAATATTCATGATTCATTTCAGCAAATCGACCACGATTATATAGAAATTTCTTATGTCTGTCATAAAGTTTAGTTTCTAAATGTCTGGCATCATAATAAAACTAGAAAGACAAAAATAGTACAGTTTAAGTGTTTTCATTTTTATTTCAAAGGAAATTTAGTGTTAAATTACTTTTTTTTAAAAATTTTATTGAAAACCAAAACAGTAATCTTGAGTAATAATGAGAGAGTCTAAATGAACAAAGTTTTATGCGGTTTGTTTATACATCAGACGTCTTTTTTTAATCAAGTTTCTGAACTGCTCTAGTCAATTACACTTCCTATAACTCATGTGGATTTAAGCTTGATGAGGAAATTATATGTTGATTCGTTTATAAAGTATATCTCAACACTGGATTTTCGGTTATCTGTCTTTGAAGAACATGACAAATTCAATATTGTACCTTTACATTTCTAGTTGAAGAAGAAATATACGAGAAAATGTTTTAAATCTATTGAAAAACATATTTTCATTCAATTCATCAAACGTCAATCATTACCTTTCTTAAGGTCACCCTCTGACTACATTTATATAACTATATGTAATTTCATTTGCAATGATAGAGAGAGTGTTAATACACTGGTTTTTTTGAACAAATGCTTTGTCAATCTGTTTCTAACAAAACATAGTTTTTAAAAGTTCAACTTTTAAGTCACTAGTACGAAAATGAAATAAAGTGTATGTCTTGAGAAGTTCAAATTAATCGAAAAACTACAAATGCCACTTTTACCCAACATTACAGAGACAATTGTTACCAAATATACGTTTATGTGTTTTAGAAGAACAAGTGACATATTGGCTTTTTGTCTTGATAAACACAATTTTAATCGATATCATGAATTGATCAACATTAGACTACCACTGGAAACCTGGAAGCAATGGACGGCCGTTTTGTCCTAGATTGAGACTCCTCAACAATTTCCAGAACCACATATTGACAATATTACTAACCTCATTTTATTGTTTACATAATTGATGCTTATTCATCAAGTGGAATTCTAGTAAAATGACAACAATATGTTGTGTCAACACTTATTCACTATGGTTATGTACATGCTTATTTTTACTGTTTATCGATATAAATAAATTCATCTCCGCTACTCTATATAACTATTTTCCTTACAAATCCATCTGTTATATAGCGTTTGATACTAAC